TTATATTATTACGTTATATGTATAGTAAGTACCTATTCAATTTTCTATTTTTGATCACTTTATTAAAGTATGTCGTGGGTTATTTTTTGGAGACGCCTTTTAATTATAATATATTATATAGAACGAAGAGTACCTGTGTCCTATAATATACTAAATAGAGTAGAATTACGTGTATTTTATCGATTATTTTCTAAATAATATTGGAATTTGGATGGATAATAGCTCATAATAGGTACATACCTGCCTACATATAGCTGGAGAAGCACACAATATCTAATCACAATTGATATTTTTTTCACATTTTTAATCGTCAACACAATAAAAATAATGTATATATGATCATGTCACCCGATAGTGACATTCCAATATTAATCTATAGATCATTTTCCCTTTGTTACAAATTTACAAACAAGTAAATGGCAGGTGTCAATGTTAAATATTTTTAAATGTTCTCTGTATAATGTATATTATAAATACTGTATGTTAATATAAATTATAATATATTATATTATCTACTCATTACTCCTAAAAAGATAAACTCTCGGGACGTGTATGCAGACATGCAGTAATGTAGGACCCATACATTGTAGGTACATCTATAATCACACGGCACTCCACCGAAGTACCAGGAATGCCAGTGTATCTTTACACGAACAGCTTCATCAAGGTTTTCTAACACTCATATCTATGGTTTCTCTTAAGATGGACTTTTAAAATTATAGATTAAGCTTAAGTAGCTTAGGACATTGTACACAATTGAGCTCTTAATATTAAAACCTTTTCAAAAATGGAGAACTTCAAAGTTTGAATTTTTGTTACTACCTCACACATCAAAAATTATAAGATTCTTCCCGTGAGGTAGAAACGTCAAATTTGGCACAAATGTATACTTTACGGGCAAATAAAAGGAAAAATCTAAAAATTGCAATTTTCTCAAATTGTATGCTGTCTTTGGGAATGTAGTTCAACCCGGTTGGGTTTTATTGAAAAAATAATAATGGGGGGTTTTATCGGGTTTTTTCTGAAAAAACCCATCCGAAAAAATTGGAATTTTTTTCCATGTATTAGCTGCACTGTTATTTGATTTTTCCCTTATCGCGTTATCTCTAAACTGGCCCCGCCAAAACTATAATATGATAAATTACAATAATATAAGATATTGACATTCTGAACTTTTCCTAATTGTTAATATTTAATTTAAACTTTAAAGGAAAGTTACCTATTTTATATTTTAAATTTTAATACCTTGTTAAAAATAAAAAATTGTTAACATTTATATTGACTGTTGGTGTGTAGTTTTATTTGTACCTACCTAATTAAAAAAATAATAATAAGGTTTTTTTCATAACAATTTAATATTTTAATTGGAAAAATAAATAATTCCTATAAGGAAAATTCTTCTGAAATTAACATAAGTAAAAGAGTAAAAAGAGTATTTTATTCAGAAAAGCAGCCCTGGTTTTAAGAGTTTTTTCAAAAAAAAATGAGTGGGTTTAACCCAGAAAAGCAGCCCGGGTTTTTTTATGGGTTTTTCAAAATATCAAGTGGGTTTAACCCAGAAAAGCAGCCCGGGTTTTTTCGGGGTGGGCTTTTTCGTGCCAATTCTGTTCTAAATGCATAAAGTTACATCAAATTGACAACCTCGGTCCGCCGCGACGTATAGCAAAAATTAGATTTCAGCTAGGTACTGCATTTTATTATGATTATTGTTTTTAAGTTCAAAGTTTCTAACCAATGCCATATTTATGGAAGGACAAATGGGACATTTGCACTAGGCCCACTTATAAGAGGGGCCCACCAACTTGCAGCATACAAAATGAATTGTATACCTTTTTATCATACTTTGGGAAAACCAAATAAATTTGGTTTTAAAGTACTTTAGGAAAACCAAATAGATTTGGATTTGGTTTTCCCAGAAAACGACGACCTTCATCAACTTTGCCGATTACAAAATCTAATTGCCGTTATTATAGTTATAATATTATTATCGTCGTAATATTACTATTGACGTTGTTGTATTGCGTAGTTACGTGATATGCGTCAGTCGTATTTATTGTACATCTATCAATATTTAATTGTCATTTGTTTATTATTTTTAATAATTTAAAATGTCAAAAAAAATAATTAAGAGAAAATTAAAGCATAAACGTCATGAAAAAACAAAAAAAACTACACAGTAGTTAAAATCAATTTTGGTTTAAAACTAGTTTATCTACTAGCGCATAATCGAAATGTTTGTGAAAACGGATTAGCTGAAATCAAATTTGACTTAAAACATTTAATTTGGATATTTACTGGAATAAATATTAAACATTAATTAGACGCATTGAAATAGTGTAGTGTTCTTGTATATTAAATAATTAAATTTTTAACAATACAATTTTATTCTATGATCCAACTATAGTTGCCCATAGCCACTCATATATAAGCAACTATTTACATACGATATTAATTTAAAAATAAAATGTGGTGAATCAGGCCCTGGTTCTAACTACTTCTTGATATTCAATGTTTGCATAATATTTTATTAAATATTAAGCCCGGGGAGAAAAAAACTTATTCCATGATTAAATATAAAATGTAGATTTGTGGTTGAATCATTATTAGATTCTGAACGGAGCGATAAATGTATTGATTTAAGAATTTACTATGATATTGTGTGTTATTTTAGATTCTGAGTGGAACGATGAATGTATTAATTTTACAATGATGTGTGTTTTTTATTTTTGTGTCTGTGTACACGATTAGTTGTCAAAATAATGCTTCGATTTTAACTTCAGTATCTTGTTCGATGGGAAAGTAAATCTAGTTGGTACTTTAGATAGGTCAAAATTTAAAATTCCCAATAGTTTTCATAAGCGCCGGGAAAAACACCATACAAATTAAAGAAAAACGGGAATTTTTACGCAAAATCGGTTTTCCACCAAATCGATTTTGGTTTTTGGTGTACCTCTAAACCAAATGTTCGCATGTACATGGCATTTTTACTGGTTGATTATATTTGCATTTTCTATACACGATAAAATTTTCTAAATATTTTGATTAGTTTTGAACTATTTAGGGACATTTTCAGTTTCCAATTTTATTAGTTTTTTTTTCTATGAATGCCAATAAAACTTTATTTGTTGGGTAAAAAAGCTTGAAAAATTAATACAAGACTCCTACTATATTGTTACAATGACGTTTAAAAAATATTAAAAATCCTTAGTCACAATTTTATTTTTAAAGCATTTAAAGTTCAAATCTTGATAAAATACTGAAAAATCACGAAAATTAGCAAATTATGCTAATATTGAGAATTCATAAAAATTTTTCTTTTCAAATCTAATATTTAAAAATGTGACACAAGGTTATTAATAGGTTTGTCTACCTTTATTAAAAAAAAATGTCAACAAGCAAATCAACTTAAATTTTTTATAAGCGTTTGAAGTTCATATTTTTACAATATTGGATATTCACTCGATTTCTCATGTAGCGGTTTTGTTATTTTGTTGTTATTCAAAAACGAATAACTGTAGATACATAAAAATTTTACTGAATGTTTATATTTTCATTTGTTTTTGTTGGGTAAAAAATAATGAAAATGTAATGCAAGGCTCATGGTATATTGTTACAATAGCAGTTGAAAAATATTAAAAATACATTGGCACGATTTTTTTTAGAAACATTTATTAAAGTTCAAATTTCGACAAAATTTATCGAATCTTAAATTTTATAATGATTTTGTAGCTAAAAATGTATAAAATGTTAAACTTTTATAGCTAATAATTGAAAATTTAAAACAAGGTTCCACGTAAATAAGTTATATATAAATTACTTTATTCGCCTTAATATCATCAAATATACTTAGTAATATCATAGGCTGACTGACCGTTTTCGCTCAGAATCGTTTTTTTTATGCAATGATATTATATCATTGAATTCAAATTTAACACCATCCATTACAGTGACCTATTTGTAACCTACTGTACAGCAGAATGACATCCACTTACCCACCTTTTTTATTTTTATTTTATGTCTGTCATCACCTTTTAGGACAGTAAAAATGCTTTTATTTTCTTCAAAAGTAAAAAATTCCTAATAGTTTTCAAAAGGTCAGGGAAAACCAAAAATAAATTAAGGAATAACTGGAATTTAGTTTTAAATTCTATGAATATCAATAAATTTTCATTTGTTGGGGAAAAAAAGCTTAAACATTTAATACAAGGCTCTTAATATAGGTAGGTATATTGTTGCTATAGCAGTTGAAAAATATTAAAATACATAGGCACCAAGTATAACGATTTTAGTTATTTTGTGGTAGGTAATTTTATGATATTAATTCAACTTACCGGCTACAATAATATATAATAACAAAAAACATAATATAAAATATCCACACTGACAAACCGTCCCCGCTCAGAATCGTTTTTTGTATACAATGATATTATATCATTGAACTCAAATTTAATACCATCCATTATACAGTGCCCACTTGTAACCTTCAACTATACAGCTGAGCTATATCCACTTACCCATCTTTTTTTTTAAATATACATTTTACCCTTTTAATTATTGTAAAAGTTCTTTGGATATGGTGGGCAACCTTTAATTTATTGAAATTAGTAGTATTTATGATAGTATGATATAATCATGTGTAATGTGTATTGTATTTTATATCTTAAATAGGTATGTAAAATAGTATGCATGTTAATATATGTACGGCGGAGTCACAAAAGTTTGACAACTGTTTTCGCTTCAGTGACAATAGGGTATAATGACACTTTTAACAATCGCCACATACACGTCATATATTATATACGTTATTATTATGATTATTATTAATCTTTGGACCATTTTTTGAATGCGTATTGTATATAATATATTAAACAGTATAGGAATATAATATTATAAATATTTGTAAAATGTATAATACTAAAATGTATTATATAACACCCCGCATATATTGTAATTTGTATAGATGGTCAAAATAATAATTAATGTTATTGTTTGTTTTACAGTTAAAAGGGAATATCGACGAGACAAACAGCACAGTAGAAATCGTTGATAAGTTTAATAACTATCAAATATACCCTCGTATTATCAGTATTGTTTCAAAAGATTATTTTAAATTTTTTAAGGTAAGAATTTTTTATTTTGATTCATGGCGCCTTGACTTATGGTATATACCTATTTACGCGATTAGGTAAATCTACGTAGAACTTGTCCATTTTGGTCGGACGACAGCAAATGTGCTATGAGATATTGCCAAGTGGAATCCTGCCAGTTGGTAATGAATAATAATGATTTAAACTATACGGGCTAAACAAGCAAATTTATTTATTTTGTATTTTATGGTTTTGTATGTAGGACGATTTACCCATAGGTTTGAAAGGGAGTCGTCATAGTTTAGTAGATGAAGATATGTCGATTAAGGTAAGTGTTTTGTAACGACGATGAATTATTAAACTTCAGGGCGTTTTTATTGTGCCTAATATAATATTTAAAACAAAACGTAAAAACTTATACATTAATATTTTTAAATGTGCTATATTGCTATTTTCCTAGTGTGGCTGCTGTTTCTGTTCTTCAACTTGGTCTCAATTCCACGATCATAATAAACGAATATACCGCGTAATCCATTCCATGTATTCCTTCAATTTAAAACACTCGATCCATAATTTTGTATTTTTTATTTTTGTATTTAAAAAATAATAATACAACTATGTTTGTCCGCACAGTATATGGAAGGACCACAACAACAAGAGTGTGAAGAAGCAATGCAAGACGAATTGGGTTACATTAACACAACTATAAGGTCAGTTTCACACAATATGCTAAACAAATAATAAGTATTTTGGTACCTACTTATATTTACATTATATAGATAATTTTAAAGAAGTAATACTGTGTCATAACTGGTGTGGAATTTGTAGCATTCTGTGGTTTTCGGTAATGCACTTACGACTAACTGAGTTTCTGAAATATTCCGGTTGGATACCAACTCGTAAATTAAGAAAAGTGCAGGAGAACCAATTATACTAAATTCGACTAATCTTATAAAGTCGAATTATTGTGTATTGTGTAGTATATATTATATAATAGACTTAGACAATTGAGAATTGGTATAATTATTTAGATTTTAGAGATCTATAACCCACGTTATAGATTCCTCTGGGGTGGCATTGACGCGTGTCTACAAGATTTTGATTGTCTTATACATAGTTACATCCTATTTATATGAAGTATAATATAAAATATTTGGTATACAGTATACTACAAAATATTTAACATAATATATATTATGTTGCAATAATAACATTTTAAACATTATTTATAACTGCCTGCATGTGCGAAAAAATAAGTTTAATATTGATTTTTGTTTACTCAGAGTGAAACGATGAATGTACTTATTGATTTTACAATGATGCGTGTTGGTTTTTTATTTTGCATGTATACACGACTCAAGAATTATAATTTATAAAATAATTTAACTTTGATGGGGTTTTATTGGGGAAAATTGGATCCAGTTGGTACTTAGGGAAAATTAAAATTAAAAATTCCAAATACTATTTAAAATAATCCGGTAAAACAAAATAAATTAAAAAAAACAGGAATTTTCCCAAAAAACCAGGTTCAAAAAAATATCGACTTTCTTATTTTGTTGTACTTCAAAAGCGAGTAACCGTTTATACTTGACATTTTCACCAAAAGTGTATATTACCTCTTTCTATACACGGAATAGTTTTAGGACATTTTAAATGGACGATTTTTTTTTTGATTTTTTAACATCGATATTGTTTTTAGATTCTGGGCAGAGCGTAAGAATATATTGTATTTAAAGATGTATGTTTTTTTTCTGTCTGTCATCAACATTTTGGGTATTAAGAATGCTCCAATTATCGAGATCAACATATTTTCTGATAGGAAAGTGAATCTAGTTGGTACTTTTAAGAGGTCAAAATAATTCTAATCCAAATAGTTTTAGATAGAATCAAGATAAACAAAAATAATAGTGAAAAAATGTGCTAATTTTTACGCGAAACCAATTTCTGAAAAGATCGATTTTAATATTTAGGTGGAACTCTCAAAAACTAACAACCGTAAACCAATCTTCGCTAAATATTTATACTAACATTTTCAATAAACTGTAATATTTTCGAAATATTTTGACTCTTTGAGGTTGTAAATTTGTAAATTTTTTAATTATTTTCGTTAAAAACTGTTTCACCTAGTAAATAATTTTGAAAATTTAACTCAAGATTCTTTATAAGTTTCATTAATGTAAGTTCAAAAATATTAATGATACATTAGGACAATTATATTTTATATGCAATTAAAGTTCAAAAAAAGTTTATTTTAAAGTAACATTAATTAATAATTTTTATGAGCTTTTGAATTTAAAATTTTTACTATATTGGTTTTTCATCGGTAAATTAACTAACTTTCATATACCTAATATTAATTTTTAATATTTCGTTGTAACTCAAAAACGAATAACCCCATAGACACTTGACATTTTCGCCAAATGTTAAAATAACCATTTTCTATGTATACAATGTTAAATTTTCAAATAATTTTGGCCCTTATTAAGCTATTTATAGCCATAAAAATTTTCAATTTTCAAATTATTTTCAGTTTGAAATTCACCAAGCTTTCAAATATACCTATTGCACACATCTTAATAAAATTCGTTCGGGTCAAGACCCTTGAAAATGTAATACAGGGTCCGCATAAATTTTCATTATAGGTATAGCTGTTTAAAAATATTAAAGATACATAGTCACGACTTTTTTTTAATAAGCATTTGAAATTCAATATTTTTAACAAAATTCGTCAATTTTGAAAATGTTATTGTCTTGTAATTAAAAAAATATATATATAATATTCAATTTTTATAGCTAAGCCTTTCAAGTATAATATGGGGTTCCTCAAAAGTAGGACCCGGATTTAAATGCCATAAAAACTATCAGAAAATGCTTTAGCAAATAATCAAAAATATCTTTTCAACACAATAGGTAATGCCCTTGAAAATAAACCGAATGCGATCGCAACGTATGTTCAACTGACCAATTGGTTGTTAGTTGTTATGAGTAACCGGTAAGACACTAAGGCACTACATTCGGTAATTGCTGGGGATATAGAAAGACCTTATCGCTTTCATATACAGTCATATAGAATGATTGACATATGATACTCATAAAAATACTTAAAAACTATCATGTAAAGCAAATATGAACACAATAGTTATTGATATAATAATTTATGATATTATATCTGATTTTTTTTTTGTTGTGTCAATTGTTTTTAGTAAATACAATGTATTACTTACTTACCATATAAACTTACATAAGTATTTAATGCTTACCACCTTTTCAAACAGATTCAACCATAAAACTAAAAGGAGCAATTTCACTCATAAGTATGAAATAATAATAACATAATACCTATATGTACCTACACTTAAACAGTTAAAATGTTTATTAATTATTTTAATATATAAAATATACTATACATTTATTGTTCATTCAAATTCTTTCTAGTCTGTATCCATTATTTGCCGTAATTTTTAAGAGTTATTTTTGTCTTTGCTAGTACCAATTTTGAAATACTCTTTTAACTTGCAAGCTTGTATTAAATTTGATTCCATAGATATACAATTAGTATATTTGTTCCTTAGAGCTGCTTACAATTTGTTTGAAAAGAAATGTCAATTTTGATACGTTTATATTTAATTAGAATATTATTATATAAGCATTAAGCACCTGAGACGTATACTTATATACTTATTAGTTGAAAAATTAATTTCTGTAAATTCTTCATTTTTTTCTCATTTATATTATATATATTATTTTTCACCGACGTTTCAAAATTGAAGGAAATAAAAAATTCAAAAGATACAGAATGTTTGAAAATTGATTTGAATAATATCCAATATTAGCTAGTGTATTAAAAATAATTTATTTTTGAACCTAAATAAATATATAAATATTTCGTTTTCATTAAAAATAATCCTATCGTAAACTATTGCAAAGATAAAATACGGTTAACGATCTTCGCATTCATTTTGGTTCAAAATTATCTTTTAGTAACCATACTATCGACAAAAAAAAAAGACTTTTCAGAAATTAGGCTTATTTAAACAAACTTGTAGACATTTCGCTCGCTCAGTTGGAATAATATATGGATCTCTCATAAATCATATCATATAAATGTTCTCAAATCCTTAAAGTCAATTACATACGTAACCTATCTAAAATTCAAAACAATTTTCTTAGGTTTCTTTCATTTAAATGTCGTGTCGAAAAAATTCTATATTCAGAGTATACATGTATTCAAGGAATTTTTAAGCTACCAAATCTAAAAGTAGTAAGTAAAATAACTAACAAAAATTGATTTAAATTATTAAACCATAAAATAGACTGCGCAGTACGTAATTATGCGTAATACGTATTACTCATATATTATACCTACCTACATCAGCTGTTTCTTCGCAGTCTCGCAGTATCGAATCTATAAATTTGAAATGGGGATCTACATTTTTGTGAATGGATAAATATATAAGTCAAAATATATACATACATTTTTTTTTTTAATTTTTTTTTTAAACTACTGAATTCTAAACGATGGATACCTTTTTAATTTTTATATCCCAAATATTTAAACAATTTAATAACAAATTATTTTAATAAGATAACCTTTATTATTTTTCCGGTATGAAAAACCAATTTAATGTTTATTTCAAACATATTTAACTATTTATTTCGAGGCTATGTAAATTTTACATTTTTTGTAAAAATAAATTGTATAGAGCAATTTTTTCAAGTTTTGAATATGATTACACCGGGTATTAAGTGACGAATTTAACATAAGGTTTGAATTATATAAGTGGTGGAATTTTTTATGGGCTACGAAATACACAGGGGACAGCTATCTTTTATGTATAAAACATGTCTCGCGGGGTCTGCAAAATATAATAATAATATAACCTGACGGCTGACAATATACTTCAATCACAAGCTAGTCTCACGGGTAATGCTGCCGGGATAGCTATAATCATTTATAAACAATGCTTTAATATAATTATATAACTGAACGTGTCCTGACTGACACACTGGTCACTGACTAATCAACTTAGTGCCTAAACAATGATAGCTTGAAGCTTTTAATTTTCACGGCATCTTCGTACCACAATGTAAGTGTGTACTAAGAAAGCATTTCCAAAATTCTCATTTTAAAGTTGTACTTGCACAAGTATTTTGACACTCAAGATGATTGATTAAAATGTTTTGAACACTTGTACACCGAATATTAAATAATGGATTGAACAAAGTTTGAATCTTATAGAGTGGCATTTTTAACGGGTAACCAGTTTCCCCCTCTCTTCCCCCCATTGACCATAATATTATTAATTTTTTTTTAAAATATTTATAAAGTTTCAACTGTAAACTAGTAGGTAAGACTTATAAATTCATATACGTCTTACCAGAATGAATTCGTTTTTGCAAAAACACTGTATTTGCATACCAATTTTCCTAAAATTATCAGTAATTTTTTAGTAAATGTATGAAATACTTGAATGAAAGACCTTGTATTAAATTTTCAAGCCTTAGCTGTAAAAATTTAATAACTAATAAAAGTTTTGAGCTACAAATTAACTGTGGTATACATCCTATGTATTAAATTTTTAAGCTTTTTGACCTGACAAATAATTTTTTATTGACAAAAAAAAAAATTTAAATTAGTCAAATACATTCCAAGTGAAGACGGTCAAACCAAGGTTACCAATCAATTTAACAAATTTTCATTTTTTTTTCA